AATTAGTTATTTATTTAAAGGAAACAGGATTGATTAATAGGATGTAGGATACCGGTTTTGGTTTAAAAAAAGTTTTTTTTTTTTTTAAGATAGCTCTTGTTTCTAAAGTTCCTATTCATTGTGCGCTTCACACTCCTTTCCAGTAGGTGGCGGGAATGCACCTTTTAAGTTGGTTTGCCAACCGCCATTAAATCCTAAAAGAAGAAGAAGAAGAAGAACTTGAATAATAACCCGCGGTAGCAGTGTAAAAGTAGCCCGGAGTCAGACGCACCTCTCCCGCATTGACATCTGCACGTCACACGTGTATGATCGCGGGCGCGATTTGGAATCACAAACTTGGCTGCATTTGAGTCTTCAAGGCATTTTGAGGACACAACATCGTCAAGTAAGTAAATTTAACGAATGTTACAGTATCCACTGTAGTTGTCCGCTAGGAAAAACAGTTTTATCAGTCATTATCCGTGTGAACCAGCGCAAACAGATAATGTTACCTCACGAAGTTAGCCATCAGTCTCCTTGCTTACGTTGAGCATACCAACTTATTTCTGGTTCAAACACATATGGCATAATTAAACTAATATTTCCACTTGCCACTGCCATTGTATCGCGTTTACTACAGTTCAGGAGGCGCTGGCTGGCTCATGGCTGGCTGCTGTGCTGTGTGACTGAGTGGAGGCGGGGCTAATTTGTATTCATAGCTCCGCGTATAGTAAATGAGACAAGGGTGTAGAGTTGCATTCAAGCGATTTTAAGGCATGAGAAAATTATTTTCACAAGAAAAACAATTTTAATATGTCATTTTTATGATCAAAGATGAGTTTTAAAGGATAACATTTTTGACTACAGGGGGACTTTAAAATGGTTACATTAATCATGTTTGTTTATATTTTTTTATTAAAATGGAAGTTATTTTCCTAAATGTAAACTTGACTGACTGCTTCATTTCCCCTTTAAAATATAATTTTATAACTACTTATTTTTCATTCTTGTTCTGTTCTGAATACCGTTAAATTGAAAATATTTGTTGTAGAGTGAGGGGAACTAAATAGGCTGTTTATATTTACCAGTATTTTAATATACATATAAATTACATAAATTATTGTATCTAATTGTTTGCAATTACAAGGTTAACGGGTGTTTTTGGAGTAAAGCCCAATTTATACTTCTGCATCGAACCTACGCCGTAGCCTACGCATAGACACACACCCTACGCCGTAGCCTGACGTGCACCTCTCCAAAAATCTAACAGCGCGTCAATTCTACGCAGACCGCAAGCGCTGTGATTGGTCTGCTCGAACCCCTCCCTCCGTATTAATCATAATTATTGCATAAATATTAATTAGTACCATGAAATTCTTTCAAAATACAAAATAAAAAAGAACAAATATTATGGAACAAAACAATATTACATTGATTTTACTGAAAATAAAATAGTTACATTTCAGGTCAGTTTGGACCGCGAACAACACAAGTGTGACCCCCCCAAATGAACAATAGGGTTAAAAGGAGCAATTCATTAAGCACTGAATGTTCTCTGATTGCAGAAGTTGTTGGTCTTGGCTTTGGTTTTAGATTTTGTCAGTTTGACCTCTAAAATGACCTATACGTTTTGATGCCCGAGTTGAAAATAAAATAGTTATAATAGTAGTAGTGTTTTTCCTGCACTTGAGGTCACTTCATCTGTCTAACTCTCTGTTTCTTTCTCATATTTAGTGAGTCAAATTTGTGTCATAAGGAAAACACAATTTCTTTTTGTATTTCTCATAGTCTTCAAAAGGCTGAGTCAAAGACATTGATTTATAAGTCTCTCAGTGTTTCCTGTGTTCTCCAGTCTTGACTGTGACCTCTGTCAAAAGGAGAATGAACAGGCTTGTAATAAAAACTAAGCATTTCTACATGGAATTCTTTTTTTTAATGAAGTTTTATGGCTTTATTCACCTCATCTCAATCAAATGATCATGGCTATAAAGTTAAATATAATGTAACCACAATCCAAACTTGGTCCAAACTAAACAGCAAGAACAGACCACCATTCTGGAAAGAGTCGTAATTCCAAAAACCGGGTCAGAGAACTAGTTTTAGAGCTAACAGATACCAGACCTGGGGCCAGATTTACAATGGCAAAAATAGAACAACACAAATGGTATAAATAGTACAAATGAAAGAGGTATAAGGCCAAAAAATGAATTTCTTTCTGTGAATTCCTGCTGGCTTTTTTTTTTTTTTAGCAGCCATTACCTCAGGCTTCAATGTCACATGATCCTTCAGAAATCATTCTAATATGCTGATTTTGTGTTTAAGAAACATTTCTTATAAAGCAGCGGTGGTGCTGCTTAAATTTTTTTTGTGGAAACTCTTCAGGGAACTACTTTAATTTTCTATTTTGTTAAATGAATTGTGTATTCTGAGTCTGTCTAGAAGGCCACCCAGAGAGTGCATGTTAACAGAAATGATCCAATATGTCGACCATATGGGGCTGTAAACTGATTAGGGGAGGCATGACTGGAGATATCCCTCCCTCTCTCAGTCACTCTTGATAACTATTTGCTATCTTTCTGTTTTTACTGAGAAATTCACCCAGTGGGTTACCTAAGTGATTTTCATGCCTAACCAACGAGCCGTGTTTTATATGGTGCAAACAAATTCCAGCGATTTTATGTTTCTCACACAGTTAAATATAGCTTTTTGTTTTGCAGCGATTTTTAATTAGGATACACAGACAAAAACACCATATTTAAGTTTCTCACCAAATGCACAGATGGATTTTGAGAAATCCATTAATTTTTTTTTTTTCTTTTTGCAACTTTTGCCTTGAGTTAAAAAAAAACTTAATGTTTTGACATGTTTAAACATCAAATCATTGTCATGCCTCTTAGGTCAGAGGAAAAATGTAGACAAAACATTTTTTCTCAGTGACGTGTTTACAGTCTTAGAAAAGTCACTTTTTTACAGACTGCATTTAATGGACTATAGACTTTAATGTCCAGCTGTAATGGTCTTCTAATGTCTTATCTGAAATAGACTTCAGGAGATTAAAGACTAAGTGAATGCGTCTGCTGTGGATATCTGTATACATACCGTGCCTTGCAAAACAGTTTGACAGTATTTAAAAAGATGCATTATTTAAAAATCTTTAATAGTATTTGTTAGTGTTGAAATTTTATTTTATTAATTTCTTTTTCACCATAAACAATAAAGTCAAAGAATGTGCTTTCCTTGTTTATTTCTCATAAAATCATGAAAGCCACATAGAGGAGTATCGACAACCAGATAACATAGTCCAGACAGACTTGATTAACATGTCTTGTAACACTAGGAGGTCACAGTTTACAAGTCCATACTATGAAAACAACATTTTATGGCCAACAGCTCCTTCATATCAAAGTTTTCAGGGTTAAAAACACAGCATCAGATGTGTTTGTTTATGTATGTGTGCAGAGGATGTGTTCACAGGTGAAATATTTCGACACTGTGAAACTAGGTGTAAACGGGGCCTAAATCACATATCATTGCCAGCGTCTGCTTCTTAAACACTTACACAGATAGATAGATAGATAGATAGACTATTGGCAAAAACTAAAACACAATATTATTTTGTAAACTTTAAAATAATACAGGCTAGACTGTGTTGTTGTAATGGCATTTTCACAAACATTTTCATCCAGATTTTGATTTGTTTGAAGTTGAGAAATAAAGACTGTACACAGATTTTACACATCCAGTTTTATGGGGCATAATTAAGCTAATGGTTTACACGTGTATGCTTGTGTACAGATGTTTCTGAACAGCTGCAACATGACCGTGATATTTCCAATCATAGGGGAAGTTTTAAAATTTTCAAAAATAATTCCAACGCATTTTACTCATTTCTGGGGGGGAGTGGTGGATTTTCCCACACTCTTGTCGCGAATCACGACGATGTCCGATTCGTAAATGAATCATTCTTTGGGTCGGATCTTTTCAGTGGATTGGTTTACAAAAGTAGTTCGAACTATTTGTTCATTGTTCACTATTTATATAAGTTGCAAGCAAGATATAAAAACATTTAGGGTGAACCGGGGATATTAAAACGTCTGTAGCCTATATATGTAAATAGTTTTTTGTATTGTTTAATGTAAATATAAATATAGCCTAAATATACGTAAGTTCAAAATGACTTTGTTTTTTAATGAATTTTATGTGTCCCTCTCTAGGAAGATCACCTTTATTACATGATGTGGCATTACTGGAACATTTTAGACTAGAACATGTAATATTAGAGGTAGGGATGTGGGGCACCACGTAATGAATGAAATAAGAACCACTGAATTGTTTTTGAACCGGTTCTTTGAAATGACCTCGTTGAAGGAACCGATTCGCAGAATGAGTCGGACGGCATCCGCTCTGAAAGCAAAGACGTGTCGTGACAACATCAGTACACGCCCACCGCATCCGGAAGTACTGCGGGCTTGAGGATTTGTTTTGATGGCATCATAGCAAGTTAAATCGTTGTGTCTTCACGCCTTATTTAGAGTCACTAAGTTTGAAAGCTCCTTGAAATCGATATTTTTCAGTCTTGCCTTTATTTTATTTCGGAGTTCGAGGTCGCGAAGTTCAACTCAAGAAAGAAACGCAAATCCTCGGAGGAGCTGCTATGATGAAGAACAGGTTAAAATGATTTGCCATTTAGCCGTGAAGCTGAACTCAGTTAACAGCCTTTAAACGTCAATCATGGATTGTACAGCTCTTGAACTCGATGCTATTAAATTTGCCAAATCAGCTGTACTGCATGATCAGAAGGGGAAATACAATGAAGCTGTTTTCTACTATAAGGTAAGATTATCCTATTTGACATTTAAGGCTAATTGATCTTAAACTTCCTGGAAAGGCTTTATTCTTTAATGGAATTATCAGCTTGTTCCATGTTATGGCAATAAAAGCTGCCATTAAACAATTTTCCCATTCAAATAAATTCATATATCAATATACAGTATATTCCATATTGAATAAATATATTCATATTTTCTTTGTGGTTCTGAATAGGAAGCTGCCCAGGCTCTCATCTATGCAGGCATGGCTGGATCCAATCTAGAGAACATTCAAGACAAAGTAAACGAGTACTTGGACAGAGTACAGACTCTACTCAGTGCCGGTCAGTTTACGTGAACTAATACCAATATGACCTCATCAAAAAGCTGTTTTTATCTATTGATGCTCAGTATCATGATTTACACTTTATTTTAAGTTGATTCTTTAGGGCTGAATGTTTTCTAGCATTCTCTGGTCAACAAAAGTGAAACCTCCTCGTTGTTGTAGATGGAAGAAATGATGCTCATATTTTCCGCGGCCCAACCTTTAGAAAGCTTGCATAGGTCATACCTCATTTGAAAGTGGTGTGACAAACGCATCATTTGGGAATCACAAATGAATGCTGTCAGATTTTCTAGTTCACAGTTAAACGGAATTCTCTTCCTCGTTCTCTTGTGTTATGTCATTTGAGAACAGCATTACATTTGAGTTGTCTACATTAATGTTACTCACCTTTAGGTCATTGCAAAATTCTATGACTTTCTCCCTTGGAACACAAAAGAATTGTATCGGTTGCTCTTTTTAACAATGATTGGTTTCAAGCTTCAAAATGGATGCAGAAGGGCCATAAAAGTATAATGAAAGTGACCTATACAAGTCATGTGCTGTATTTCAAATATTCTGAAAATATTCTAAATGTCAGCTTTGTGTGAGGAACAGACTGGAGTCAGTGAGCTTAAAACCTTAATTATAATGCCAGAAACCCTGAAATCAAAATTATCCCCCCCTTAATGAATATTTTTTTCATTGATGAACTTATTGAATGAGATTCTGGGATCCTCTGTTGGACAATGGAGGAGTCTAAAAGGTTGAGAACCACTGCTTTAAAAAATGTTCAAAAATTGGACATAATTGAGGCAGATTTCAAGATTTTCAGTGAATAAGAACCTAGGCTAAATATATGTTTTTTTCCCGCACACTAAGCTATCATATGACTTTAGAAGATTTAGAATATAATACACAAGTCTTATGGACAATGTTTATTGTGCTTTTCAAAGCTTGCAAGCCTAAGTCTCCATTCATTGTAAATGTGTTAGTTCACTGACTGAATCCCTGTGATTAGTTCAAGCACAGAGCAGTGACCCTCTGAAGAGTAAGCATCAGCTGGATCTGGAGAGGGCGTACTTCCTGGTGACACAGGCTTTTGAAGAGGATGAGAAGGAAAACGCAGATGAGGCCATTGAGCTCTATACACAAGCTGTGGAGTTGTGTATTCAAGCGGTGAGTCGTCACATAAGGGGAAATGTTTTGAGTTTGATCATACTCTTTTGTTCAAAAGTCTCAAAAAAGGGTCAATAAACAGTCAATAGGGTTTTTTTTATTTCAAAGACATTAATATCTTTATTAAGCAAGGGGACATTCAACTGATCAGAAGTGACAGTAGAAACATTTGCATTGTTACAAAAAGTTTGATTTCAAATAAATACTAGTATTTTTTTATTTTATTTTTATAAAAGAATTCTAAAATAATTGTACTAACCCCAAACCTTTGAACAGTAGTATATATAAAGAACTCTATAATTCGATCACAACTATACATGTGGACTTAGATACTAGCAGCAGTTCTGAAGTAATAGTTGTCAGTTTTTGAAACAGGTGGTGGTGTTAAGTTGGTTGTTTTGGTTTCATATCTCTCACTGCCGGTTATATGGGCTCCTCTGTAACTAGAAACTGAGCCAAGCCCTGTAATCTTTGAACTCTTTCTCTCTCCCAAACAGTCCAATGAGACATCAGATCAAGCACTACAGGGGAAACTGAAGCAGCTTGCTCGGCAGGCTCTGGACAGGTGCTTCACTGTTTACTCTAATGCTAAAATACTAATACTCCAGTGTATTATGAATATTTTGTGTGAAATACCACATAATCAACAGCAGTATCTACAGCAGTTGTGGCATATTGATGATTACCATAGAATATTACGAGAATCACAACTATCACACATTTGAAAATAGAATGATGCACAATCAGTGCAATGCACATTTTACCCATCATCCTTTCATCTCCTTTTCCTCTTTCAGGGCAGAGGGACTGAAAGACTCTCTTAGTAAACCAGCAAACCAGGATAAGGCTGCCTCCTCTGCATCCAAAGGCCCTGCTCAGGTGAGGCAGTTCTTTCCGCTGGGCCCAGACTTCTCCCTCCAGGACAAAGCGCAGCCGGTCCGAGCAGTGCAGTCCAGTGAGCCGCAGGGTCAACGTTACACAGCAGAGGAGATTGAGGTGCTCAGGTAGGCTCGGCAAACATGATGTCTTATATTTAATTGTGCATTCTCAGTTCCCCTGTGTGCATTTTTATCACCTTTACCTGGCATCTCACACTCACTACAGTTAATCTTACAAAAGTGCTAATAATTTTATTATAGTGTGAAATCTATCTTTTGTGAATCTCAAAATGAATATCTGTTTTTTTATGCTGTGCATTTATAATGTTGTGATGCCTAAATTGACTTTTAATTTATTTTATTTGGACAAAACATTATATAATTTTATAATATGGGTTTTAATTTATTGGTTATCAGCCACAACATGAAAAAAAATTGCCTCATTGATATCAGCCACAATTGCATTTTTTTCTTTTAGCATTGTTTCAACATAATGCATATAAGTTCATTGACATTTTGAAAGTATAATATTTAGAAAATATATTCTTACTTAATTTTTTTCGTGTGTGTTTTGCAGGAAGACCTCTAAGATAAATGGAATTGAATATGTTCCATTCATGAGTGTTGACCTGAGGGAACGTTTTGCGTTTCCTGTTCCATTCTCGTGAGTACTTTATATATATGAGTGCAATTTGAACAAGTGCAGCTGTTTCACTGACATCCACTGGTATTTTTGTACCCTGCAACAGCTGTATTTTGCTTAGATTTACACTAACTCAAAAGTTTGGGGTCAGTAGGATTTTGTTTTGTTTTTTTGAAAGAGACATTAAATTCATCAAAAGTGACAGTAAACGAAGAGTTCTATTTCAAATAAATGCTGTTTTTTTTTCTCTTTTTTTTTTTTTTTTTACGTTCTATTCGCCAAAGTATCCTGAAAAAAAAAAAACGCTATATCATGGTTTCCACAAAAATAATAAGCAGCACAGCCATTTTCAACATTGATATTAAAAAAGCTTTTGAAAATTCAGCTTTGCCATCACAGGAATGCATTACAATTAAAAATATTAAAATAGAAACCAGTTATTTTCATTTGTAATAATATTTTTGTATTGAAGAGCAGTAGTCTTATAACACTGTGAAATATAACACTGTCAAAATATTTGGGTGACGTGATTATGTTTATAAATAGGGACAAATGTGGGAAACTAGCTCTGTCGCCAAAGCAGAAAGCTGTATTCTCACGCTGGGTTCGACCTGATGACATCTGCAATAACCCCACCATGATCTACACTGTGTCCAGCTTCAGCATCAAGCAGGTCACGCTTTATGCATCTCTGCTTCTCATTCAAACTTTAGCAGCCGGTTAACAGGAAACAACTTGGCCAGTAATAGTTTCGAATACTATTTAAATCAGTTTTGCCATTCAGAAAGCTCTGTTGTTTGCTCATGTGACTTTAAGCTTATGTAATGTTCTTTTGTTTGTTCATGCTTGCAGACGGTTGTGTCAGACTGTTCTTTCGTTGCCTCATTGGCCATCAGCGCAGCGTATGAGAGACGCTACAACAAAAAATTAATCACAAGGTACAACGGATGTGCTAGGCCTTACTGTTTACACTAATAGTTTGACTCATGTGTAACGCTTGGATTATGAAGCTGCTTTTTGGATGCCTCATGGACTGAATCAACTTGAGAATGTCAGGTGTCCTCAGGCTGGAATGTCAAAAATTCCTGAACAAGCACCTCTAATTTACTGTTATTTATATTAATAATAATTATATAACAAGAATTATAGAAGTCATTGGGTGGTTTCCACAATGATAAAATGTTTATTTGCGTGTTTGTATGTAGCATCATCTACCCACAGAACAGGAAAGGAGAGCCAGAGTATAACCCTTGTGGGAAGTACATGGTGAAACTGCACATTAACGGCGTCCCGAGAAAGGTGCTTAACCTCTTTTAAGCCCCACCTCTTCAAATAAACTCCAGTTTTTTCTATTGTCGTCTTCATTGTTTGAAGATGAACAGGTTCAGGATTGTGTTGTCATAGTTCAGGTGTGTGTTTCTCTGTCAGGTGATTATTGACGATTTCCTCCCGGTGGATCGCAATGGCGAGCTGCTTTGCTCCTACTCCAGTAATCGCAATGAACTTTGGGTGTCGCTCATTGAGAAGGCTTACATGAAGGTCATGGGTGGATACGATTTTCCAGGCTCCAACTCTGTGAGTGGCACTTCAGACTCCGATGCTTCTCTAAACAAAACATTTCTGTCACCAAAATGAATGTGTTTTTTTTACAGAAAAATACAAAGGAATACACATATATTACAATTCTGGTTGATTTTCATGTTATGGCTGATGGTGAATGGATAAAATAATGATATTTTTTATTCTGGATTTTTTGATGAAGTTCAAGAGAACAGTGTTTATTTGAAATAGAAATCTATTAAAGGGTTAGTTCACCCAAAAATGAGAATTCTGCTATTAATTACTCACCCTCATGTCATTCCAAACCTGTAAGACAAATTAAGATATTTTTGATGAAATCCAAGAGCTTTCTGACCTTGCGAGAGCTTTCTTCTCCTCCGCATCAGTCTTTGTCGCATTCACGACAGAACCAAGACAAATTGTTGAATAAAGTCGTTATTTTTTATTTCTTTGCTCACAAAACGCATCCTCGTAGCTTTACAAAATTACGGTTGAGCCCCTGATGTCACATGGACTATTTTAACGATGTCCTTGCTACCTTTCTGGGCCTTGAACGTGTCAGTTGCGTTGCTGTCTATGCAGGGTCAGAAAGCTCTCGGATTTCATTTAAAATATCTTAATTTGTGTTCCGAAGATGATCGAAATTCTTACAGGTTTGGAACGACATTCGGGTGGTGAATAATTAATGACAGAATTTTCATTTTTGGGTGAACTATCCCTTTAAATTGTACTGACCCCAATGTAGCGTCTGGACCAATCAGACACACCATTTTTCATTTGATTTAACAAATCAATTATTCATTAGATTAACAAACGTTCACAGACCCCTCACCCAATAAACATACTGGGTGCCAAGTTGTCTGTGAACAAGGCCCAGGACCCTGGTTACCATGGCAACCCTGACACCAGAACTTTTGAACAGTAGTGACACTTAGAACTATGGTGACACTTTCATGTTTTCTTGTTGTAGAATATTGATTTGCACGCTCTCACCGGCTGGATCCCAGAGCGTATCGCTATGCACTCAGACAATCAGTCCTTTAACAAAGATGACACTTTCCGCATGCTTTACCAGAGGTAAGCACACATTCACAGTACACACACAATACACTGGTTTGTATTGATTTCTGACCACTGTAGGTCACATGTTCCTTTAGATTCGGTAGTTTGTAGCTGCTTCAATACTTTACTGGCCTTATTTCACTTGCCTGTATTGATTCTGAGCATAAATAGTTTGTGTACGGTGTTATTTATGTAACATTATAGTATTTATTAAGATTTTTCCGTTTTTATTTTAATTTTACTTCAAGTTTTAGTAATTTTGTTGTGCTGCTGGCATTTTTTTCTATTAATTTCTATTTAGCTTTAATTAATATTTCTGTTTTAAAGGGGTCATATGATGCGATTTCAAGTTTTCCTTTCTCTTTGGAGTGTTACAAGCTGATTGTGCATAGATAAGATCCCTGAAGTTGCAAAGACTAAAGTCTCAAAACCAAAGAGATATTCTTTATCAAAGTTAAGACTCTGCCACGCCCCCCTAAAACGGCTCGTTCTAACACGCCCCCACATATCTACCTCACTATGTGGAAATATTAGCATAATGCCGCCCAAATGTGCACGCAAAGAAAGAAGGCGTGGTTTCAGTAACGCAGTTAGTGTTGAAGCAGCCATGTCAGGGAGACGCTGTGTGTTTCTAGGCGAAAGCAAAAGCACTTTATTTGGCCTTCCAGAAGTAGATGCATTTAGGAATCTTTAAGATTACTTACAACAGAACAGCAATGCATTTTATGGATGACCGTTTCGTGAACCTAGGAGAGGAGGTAATTCTGATTTTGCTATGACAATCTGGCGCTTCTGAATCAGCTACTGTTTTGTTATTAGTTTAAGTATTTGCTATTGACTGTTCAAATGCGGAGTTTTGCTCATCGAGAGAGAGAGAGAGCGCGAGAGAGAGAAAGAGAGAGAGAGCGACAGAGCGCGAGAGAGAGAGAGAGAGAGAGAGAGGGGGTCACATCACAGTGGAGTCAGCTGTCTTAACCGTGGCTTGTGTGCTGCAAACACATATTCATCACTGTGTCTGTCACGAGACTGTTCCCCTTTCGGGCTTTGTCTTTACATTTATTTTGAAAGATGAAGCTGGCGATTATGGTAAGGGGCGTTACATTTCCGACGCGTGCTTGTGGTGTTCGGCCAATCACAATGCACTGGGTCAGCTGGCCAATCAGAGCAGACTGCACTTGTCTGAAGGAGGGACTTTGTAGAAAACGAAGCGTTTGAGAGAGGCGGGGCATAGAGGACCTACAATAATGTACAGTATTTGAAAAATAATGTTTTTTGAACATTAAAGCATGTCAACATATTCTGTTACACCAAATACACAAAATAATGATCTTTAAAAAAGCATCATATGACCCCTTTAATCATTTTAGTACTTCAGCTTAAGTTTATTTCAGTTAGTTGCAAAGGCAACATTTCTCTCTACTTTTTAAAATTATTTTAAGTTTATTTTTAAATGTTTATTTTATTTCAGCCTTATTTCATTTGCTGAAATTTAAAACAAACAAACAAATTATTTACATTTATTTGAAAAGGGACCATGCACAATTTTAACATTAAATGTTTCCATTTCATGCATTGTACCGAATTTAGCCAATGGCTAGTTTTCATCCGCAGTCCCTTGGCAGGTAATCATAATCATAAGACAACAAACACATACAATACAGTAATATTTATACACGTCCTATCAGAGCCAAAAAAGAACAGTAAAGATAACGTTCAGTTAAACCACAACCATGTCAGTATTTACATAGTTGAGTTGAGTTGATTTTAAATAAGATTTTAGTTTTAATTTTAAAATATCCACAACCATGTCAGTGTTTACAGAGTTGAGTTGAGTTGATTTTAAATGAGATTTTAGTTTTATTTTAAAAATGTCAATAGATGTGCACATCCTTATGTCTTCTGGTAGAGTGTTCCAATGAATAATAGTTTCAGTTTTAGTTAACATTAACAATACTGGTATTCTGTTGAACTTTTTGGCAGGTTTCACAGAGGAGATGTTCTCATCACCACGGCGACAGGGGTCATGACTGAGGAGGAGGGAGAGAAGTGGGGTTTAGTGCCCACACATGCATACGCTGTCCTAGACATCAGGGAATACAAGGTGAAACTCTCGACCGGTCTGCGTTAAAAATCTTCTGCTTAGTGGAGTCTCATGACTATAACAACAACATCATCATCATTATCTCCTGCTTGTTCTCTCAGGGTAAACGCTTCCTCCTGCTGAAGAACCCATGGAGCCATCTCCGGTGGAAAGGGCGATATAGCGAACGTGATGAAAAGAACTGGACACCAGATCTTCTTAAATACCTAAATTTTGACCCCAAAACCGCACAGAAGTTTGACAATGGTAAGTCGGTGCTAAACTAGCAATGACACATGACAAATATTGCAAAAGAAGGTGTTATTGACTATATTGTGTGATGTTCTTTAAGGTGTATTTTGGATCATCTGGGAAGACTTGTGCCAGTATTACGATGTCATCTATTTGAGCTGGAATCCAGCACTGTTTAAAGAATCCTCATGTATTCACAGGTCTGTCTCATTGTCATTACATTTATGTAATTGTCTGATTAATAGCAGATAATTAGAAAATATATGTGAATTGTGCTATTGCAGTAGCTGGGATGGCAAACAGGGACCGGTGAAAGATGTCTACAGCTTGGCCAATAATCCTCAGTACAAGCTGGAGGTGCAGTGTCCTCAAGGGGGCGCTGCTGTATGGGTCCTACTAACCAGACACATCACTGACAAGGTACTGCAACAGATTACAGTGCAGTGCACTACAATCAGATTGAGGGGACACAGTTAAAGCTGGTAGATTAAAACTGTAATTAAATATGCATAAAGAAAAACATTTTAAATAAGTACATCCAGCAGCCCTTTCTGCTGAATTAGCAGGGCCACACTGCTACGAAGATCTGTTTTGGACCTTTAACATATACTGACAACCACCATAATCACACAAGTGGTAATGAGAAAACCACATGATGAATCATCACAAGTAGTTTTTCCATAGGCTGAGATGCTATTAAGAAACACTGTTATTTGTATGAAATAGCATCAAATGTAAGCTGTCACACAGGGAATTCTGGGAATGTCAGTTCGCATTTTTTCACTGTAAATGACTTAGTTTTTTTTTTTCATGTCCACAAACTGAACATTTAATAGTATTTTACTGTAAAATGCATGAAATGTAAGGTTATATTGATTACAGTTTTCCTTTGTATACAGTAGTGGAACATAACTAATTAACAGGTTTTTGCTGTAGTATTTTTACAGTTATAATTACAATAATTTTCACAAGTTCTTACGATTTTCTTACTTTCACATTCACTCTCAAGGATGACTTTGCTCAAAACCGGGAGTTTATTACTTTAGTAGTTTACAAAACCAATGGCAAGAAAGTCTATTATCCAGGTAAGTAAGCACATAATTCAAGAAGTCAAATACATTCAGTTGTGTATATCTTTATTCTCTATAGCTTCTAATTCATTTATGTGCTCGGTTCTGATTTTTTTCTGAAGCTGAACCTCCTCCCTACATTGATGGCATCAGGATCAACAGTCCTCACTACTTAACCAAGATCAAGCTGACTAGTCCTGGAACTCACACCTTCACACTGGTGGTCTCTCAGTATGAGAAACAAAACACCATCAACTACACACTAAGGGTAAGACACAATCAAGTGCGATAGTTTTTATTTTTATAGTATTTTAATCATATCAACATGAATATGCTCTTTCCAGGTGTACTCGGTATGCAAGTTTAATTTCTCCAAAATCCCAACACCCTTCACCAACACCAAAAGAGTGAGTTCACACCTCTGCTTTCGCTGTTTAAAATATTCTAAGTGGGTGTTTTTGTTGGAAACTACTTCCGGATGGTTTAACATCTCTCTCTATGTGTAGATAAATGGCCAGTGGAAGGGGGCCAGTGCAGGAGGTTGTGGAAACTACAGAGATACCTTCAAGAACAACCCCATATACCAGTTCAACATGGAGAAAGCAGGCCCTCTGCTAATCGAACTACGTGGTTCGAGGTCAGACTGCTTGTTATTTTATTTGATTTCATTACATTACTTTTGTTTCTTTACGTTTCAAAGGTTACAATAGGAGTACTAACATAATTGTAATAAACGTATATATCCTTTCAAACCTGATCATCAGTGCACACTGCCATTCAAAAGTTTGGGATCAGTAAGATTTTTAATGTTTTTTTTAAAGACATTTCTTCTGCTCAGGATGCATTTGTTTGATTAAAAATACAGGGGAAAAAAACAGTAATATTGTGAAATATTATTACAATTTAAAATAAAATGTTTATTTAATATAATGTAAAATATAATTTATTCATGTGATGCAAAGCTGAATTTTCGTCATCCATTACTCAAGTCTTCAGTGTCACATGATCCTTCAGAAATCATTCTGATTTATTAACAATATGCTGATTTATTATCAATGTTGGAAACCGCTTTTGCTGCTTATTATTTTTTTGGAAACCGTGATACTTTTTTTTTAGGATTCTTTAATGAATAAAAAGTAAAACAAAAAAAGCTAAATTTATTCAAAATAGAAATATTTTCAAAAAATATAAGTCTTTACCGTGAATTTTTATTAATTTAACACATCTTTGCTGAATTTTTTTAAAAATTTCTTTAAAAAATAAATAAATAAATTACCGACCCCAAACATTTGAATGGTAGTGTATATTAGGGATGCACCGATAACGATACTGGTATCGGTATCGGGCCCGATACTGGTCTCCTGTACTCGTACTCGTTAAAATGCCCCGATACCAAACGCCGATACCACACAGCATGTGATAAGCGCCATATTCAAACAAAGAAACACCAACAACAGACAGCAGAAAGAAGTTAAGGATGTCTACTACGAAGTATATGTATGCAATGAATATAACGTTAAACATTCAGTATTAACGCTATGTTTTAAAGTATATTAAAATAGTAAACCATTATTTTAAATTGCAGTAATATTTCATAATATTACAGTTTTTTTTGTGTATTTTTGGTCAAATAAATGCAACTTTGATGAGCATAAGAGACTTATTTAAAAAAAACATTTAAAAATCGTTCTGATCCCAAACTTTTGAATGGTAGTGTATAATCTGAAGGACTTTTGCTATGATTAGGTGTAACTTGCATAGAGTATGTTAACCTTAAGCAATCATATAGTGTTTTGCATGTGTTTCGGATTTCATGGGCTTCGTTGGCAGGGCCGTCCTGTGCAACTACTCTATTGCGGAAGAAACACCTACACATTTTCAGATCCCTTCTGTCTCTCTCTCTCTTTTCACTGTAGAGTGTGAGGATGTAGCGTGATGCCTGTGAATAAAAATGAGTGGTTTTCTCTCTGCAGGCAGTACAGCGTGGGCTTTGAGGTGGTGACCGTTTCTACTGCAGGGGATTCTGGATCATCAGATTCTCAAAAGAGAGGGAGCGGAGATTACCGGTAAAGAAGTACTCTCTTTGTGATGAAGATAACTAGATATAAAGTGAAGCAGAGCCCATTTTATTGCTTTAAAGAAAATCATAGTGTCAGAAACCCTGTGTCGACTTCCGTTCTTCCATATGAGACACATTGGCTGTGTTTGGGATGGGATGCTAGTGTGCTGCTTATTGCATACTGCAGAGTATACAGTAAAAACACTTAAATACTGCCTACTACAGTATGCTTTTAAAAATTATTATGTGAAGTGCATAATGATTTCATACTGTTGTGTAATGCCCAATCAGTTGTTTGCTAAATGTCATTACACAACCTCAATGTTTAATTCAGTTATTATCACCTAGTTACCTGTAACATAAAATGGTTATTTGCCTTTTTTTTTAATCAGTTTTGTGTAAAAACATTTTCTGCTTTGAATATAAAAATTAATATAAATAATTATTCAAGAAGAAGTAAAAAATTGTGGCTGATATTACTTGACCTTCTATTTTGCAATGTGACAAGTGAACCACAAGTTAAGCTTGTTGCTTTATGGCATATAGTATTCAATGCAGTGTGCTTAGATTTTAGATGCTAAAGTTTTCAGCAGCCATTACTCCATTCTTAAAAGGGTCATATGATGCTGCTAAAAAGAACAGTATTTGGTGTTGATCCTTCATAAATAATTCTGTTATGCTGATTTGAGGATTCTTTGATGAATAGAAAGTTTAAAAAACATTTATTTTATATTGTAGTTTATATTGTAACAATATAAAAGTCTTTTAAATGCATCCTTGCTCAATTAAAGTATTTTGCCTTTCCAAAAAATAAATGAATAAATCTTACTGGCCCCAAACTTTTAAACAGTTGTGTATTTATTTGCCCAGACCCATATAAGACTTCAAAAATAGCAAAAGTAATATGGTAGCATCAGCATGCTATTCTGAATACAACCTTGTGGATTTTATTTTGGTTTACCAACAGTCAGCTGGCCTGTGTTCCACTTTAGTATAAGCATGCAAATGCTTGAAACGCACAGCATGGTCTCACAAAGAAATCTAGGTCAGGGATAGTTGATCATCTACAGTGGGGAAAATAATTATTTGATCCCCTGCTGATTTTGTAAGTTTGACCACTTACAAAAAAATTAAGGGTCTATAATTTTTATGGTAGGTTTATTTTAACGGATAGAGACAGAATATCAACAAAAAAATCCAGAAAAAACACATTAGAGTTTCCAAGAAACCTTAAGGATTTAGAGAGAATCTTTAAAGAGGAGTGGAACAAAATCCCTCCTGAGATGTGTGCAAACCTGGTGACCAACTACAAGACACGTCTTACCTCTGTGCTTGCCAACAAGAGTTTCTCCACCAAGTTTTGCTTGGGGATCAAATACTTATTTGACTCACTGAAATGCAAATCAATTTATAACCTTTGTACAGTGTTTTTTTTTCTGGATTTTTTGCTTGATATTCTCTCTATCCGTTAAAATAAACCTACCATAAAAATTATAGACCCTTCATTTCTTTGTAAGTGGGCAAACTTACAAAATCAGTAGGGGATCAAATAATTATTTTCCCCACTGTATAAAGTAGTCATATGACTGCATAATATGCTTGAGAAAAATAGATTTCATGGTTTGTCTCATCCTGAAAGCAGTAGCATGGTTGTTATCTTTGTTGATGGTCTGCAATAGTTCAAAGTTTTGTGTAGAATTGATTCAAAACATTTAATTGTTATACTACCCTATATAACAGAATTTGATCTCTTTATCCTCAGATGCGGTTTCTGTTATATGGAGGTCGAGAACTTGCCTGCCGGGATTTACAATGTCATCCCCTCTACCTTCCTGCCCAAACAGGAAGGCCCGTTCTTCCTGGACTTCAGCAGTGCCACTCCACTGCGGGTTTCTCAGCTGCAATAACAGTCCCAGATCATTGGCCCACCGGATTGTTTCCGCAGTTTTGAGACACTGAAGATGCTCTAGACAGCGCTTATTGCTCACTAAAGCATGGATACGCTCATTTACCAAATAAATAAGCACCACTCACTGATGGTACCTGACATAGTGCCATATTTGTCATGTTAGCGTGTAATAGATAGTGTACGACTGCTCTGACTCCTGTGCCGTTGCAGTGCCATGCTTGGAGGAAGTGTTCAATCAGCCAAAAACACACTCCTTTAAGTTCTGCAGTCCAAAGTTGCATTCAAAGACGACAGTGTGCGTGTACACTTAACCTGAAATGACTGTTTTTCACTCAGGAGACGGCAATAAAACAGGGATGTATATTAATGATGTCTGATGATAGATCAGAGGGATCTATTTCTGTGTCTCCATACCAAGGGCTCTTCCTCCTTTTTATCCCCATTATGTGCATCAAATGTCAATTTGCTCAGTTTGAGTCACTATCTACCAGCACAACAGAGTACTGTATGTTTACAGAACATAATAGCAATGACCTGAATGTTCTTACATCATAAACTTTCGACTGAATGTGATGTAATGGGGATTGCTTAAAGCTGATTTTCATTCATCTGCTCTGATGTATTTATTTGCAGATTAAAATGAAGGTGAACATGTTATCAGACATTATCACATTTTTTACACCAGTAACTTTTACAATAAGGTTTTATTAGATAACAAACTAACAATGAATATTACCATTACTTCTTTCAGTATTTATTGTTTTTAGTTGATTTCCACATATATTTATCAATTTGGCAGGTGCTTGGTTTATATTTTGGCTGTTTGTGTATTCCCATGTTTTTTTTGTTTTTAGTAAATGAATACTTCTTTTCAGCAAGGATGCATTACATTTATCAAAAGTGACAAAGATATTTATAATGTTACAAAAGGTTTCTATTTCAAATAAATGCTGGAAGACTGGAAATAATGGCTGTTGAAAATTCAGCTTTGCCATCAAAGGAATAAATTACAGTTTACAATATATTAAATAAATGAATCAATTAATAAGTGAACAAATAAATCTATTTTTTACCGACGTCAAACGTTTGATAAGTGGTGTGTGCAAAATCTCCACAGCATGGCTGGTCTGCCTCAGCACTCGTCAATATCAAAATGAATCGGTTTAAAGAAAGCGGGAATTTTAACGCAACGCTTCGGTTTTATAATGTGAGGTAAGATGTATGTGGATAACTATTAAATATTTGACAGTCGTTTTATGTTAGAATGGTAAACAGTAATATTCAGTGATTTAAACTACTCAATGTCGCCATTTTAATATAACGTTAAGATATAACATTTTGCCGTTTGTGTTTTCAACGTTATGCAAACATTCAAGCATTCGTATGTTCATTTTAAAACAATGCATCAGGTTTCATTTCAGGTAACATTTTATTTAAGTCTGAAAACAATTACACAAGCTTTGTAAACAACAAGACGCCATAAATCACTTTCCTCACAATCGGTTCTCAAAACGACAATAACCAAAGAGCCAACAAAACAAACGGGAGAAGAACGTTTGAAAGGCGAAAAAAAGAACACAAAGAAAAAGAGATGAGACACAAGGTCACACAAAAACACCACACAGCCTACTGACTAGACCTGAAGCTGTGCCATCTGTCAAAATCAGTGGCTACTGCACGCAGAAGCTGGATGGAGCATTCAGTAATTGTCCTCTTCATCACTGCAGCAAGTCCCCCACCTGGATCCAATCATTCACATAAGCCTTCTGCCCCCCTCACAGTGCAAGTACAGTAGATCCATCTTTTTATGCTACTTTGTGAACCATTGTCTTCCACAAAAACATTGTGAGTCTGAATCTATTGCTCTTTTTCTATTTACATTGAAAACAATGATTGTTCTTTACATAGAGAGAGCACTGGGCGGCATGCGGTGGATTTGGCTTGTGGAGGAAGGTGATAGTGACCAGTATGGATCAGCCAGTAGCTGCTGCAGGTCCCTGGATGACGCTGAGGTGGTGACCTGTGATGCAGGTAGTTAGCTTCACTTCCTTGTGAGTCATTGTTACAGTGCAGAAGTTCCTCTGAAGATTTTGAGTCCTTTTTGAAGATGGAAGTCTTTATGAAAGACATGCAGGTGAGTCTGTTGAGCACCAGGCTGAAGCGAGATCATGCGCAGATGTCCTAGATCTACAAGAACTCAGTAACGGTTGAAACATTATACTGCCACACAAATGACTGTATATTTTCCAATGGCACTGTTACAAAGACATTAAAGACAACCAGTGGCATAAATCTACATCATAACAAATCTCTTATGCATTTTATAAGTAAAAAGACAAGTGCTCCTTAATTGACAAGTGCTAACGCCATCTTCAGACTCTCTAGATCTGGAACGTTAATTGTGTTTTACCGAGATGTTTGTCTACTTTTCAAAGCATAACTCAGTTCTTTGCCCCTCCAGTGGCAGATTTGTCTCCTCAGCACATTGTGTCACGGGTTGCTTTTCTCACAGCCGTGAGATCGAGTGAAAGTTCAGTCTGAAAGTTGGTGGAACATTCTAGACAGTGAGAGGAGTGGGCTGGGATGACACACTGGTGAAGTGGAGGACGGGTGGCTGCCAGTGCCTCTCGCACAAAATGTGGATGAATGCATCAGATACATTGTCGTTGCATGCATTGCAGTCACATCCCATCCAGCAGGATTGTGGCTGGGGAGGGCTGCTGAGCCAGACCCAGGGGGTCTCGGCCAACGGTTTTTCTGCTTTCGTTTCGGCTAAATTTTAGAGACAGCAGGCGGAAACGGCTATCCAGGACAAAGGTTGTTTTGGTGTTGCTGATGCTGTTGTTATTGAGAACGTTGTCCAGTACAGCCTCGGCACCTTCTGCTCGGTCACCTGTACGCAAAGATTAAGCCAGTTAATAAACTACATTAATTAAGGAGCAAAATAGAAAAAAAATGAATAATAATAGTAAAAAAGAATAATAATAATTATTAAATTGTATTATTATTAATTAAATTGTATATATTTTCATTATTTATTTATATATATATATATATATATATATATATATAGTTACTATATTATAAAATGTTATAATACAATGTTACAATAAAATTGTTTTTTTATTATAATATTTTACAATGCAATATTTTTGCATTGTATTTATTTGTTTTTATATGTATATTATATAATATACATAATTTTTATATATTTTTATGTAGTAATATTAAATAATGTAATATATTTTTAATAATTGCATGAAATGCAGTCTTTACGTAATATGTAAAAATACATTATAATGTAATATTTCATAATTCTAGATATTTATATAAATTAATTAGTGCTGTCAAACGATTAATCGCATCCAAAATAAAGGTTTCTTTTTTACATAATACGCGTGTGTACTGTATATATTTATATTATTTATATTACAGATAAATATATTTAATATATAAACATAGCATATTTTTCTTAAATATATACATGTATGTGTGTATTTATATAGACATAATAAATATACACAGTACACACACATATATTATGTAAACAAAAACTTTTATTTTGGATGCGATTAATCGCGATTAATCGTTTGACAGCACTAAAATTAATGTGTTAAATAAACAGCCCTCCTTAAAAAAAATTTACCAAATAAATTAATTTGTTGTGCTTTTTCACACTAAAACACCACCCAGCTATCCATCAGTGAGATTAATGAACCCCTCTAGAGGACACAGGTGCAAGCAGGCTGGAAACCAAGAAAAATGACATCGTCTCACAGGAGAAACAAGAGCAAGCCTTAATACAATCCCTCACGTGCAAGTGCAGCGGTATTTGGGTCCAATCCGTCAACACAAAAGTATCTAAGAATATCTCACCTCTCTCTAGGTCACACTCGGGGGAGGAGGCGCCGCTGCATTCGCTGCGTGGGCCAAGGATGGGAGACATCAGGCTAAAATCAGACAAAGAGACAGTGCTGGGCAGGTCCAGACTGCAGGGGCGAGAGGAAGGGGTGGGGGAGGTGGAGGTCGGAGAGCCAGAGGAAGAGGAGGATGAAGAGGAGAAAGGACAGGGCAAGTCCAGAGGGCTGTTTGGCCCAGAACTGAAGCTACTGTTGGACTGAGTCTCCGAGTCTTCCTCGGACATGGCACTGGTGCTGCAGTTTTCATCCTCATAGGAGCCAGATGCCACTGCAGGAAGACAGAGAGGAAAGATCAGACAAGGTGACACAGGCTCTGAAACATCCTTAGGCGTGTTAAAGGGCAATATTGGATTTTTTAATTGAATTGAATGAGGATCTGTGTATCCATATCAGTGTATTTATATATTGTATTATAGACAGATTCTATATCTTATGTACAGAGTTACTACGTATATAGCGCTGCTTGAAAGAATATTTAAGCACAAGATAACTGGTACTCACTCGAAATTCCATCAGACTCCAATTTGAAGCCAGACAAGTCTTCACCAATGACACCATCACCCTCTGCCCCTACACCTCTCTCCCGCGGGCCTATGCCTGAGGAGCGTCTGCGCTCATGGATCTCATCGGAGATCATCTCCAGGTTTCTCAGGGCCGACTTATATTCCCCTTTAGCCTGTGTCAGCTTGGCCTGGAGGTCATCCACATTCTTTTTCAGTTGCTTAAGAGGTAAGGACAGAAAAAAAATTAACCTGACATTGAAAACATGGTCTAAAAATAGAAAAAAGAAAGACTGACAAATACAGGCAAATAGATTAAAAATGATTTTAAAATACATTACTGAATAAAATGTAAAAAAAGAAGAATATTTTCTATATTAATATATATTTGAGAAGCAAAATTGCCAAGATTTTTTCTTAATACAGTGGCAATTTTTTGTACTAATTTTAAGCATTAAACCTATTGAAATTCAATTAAATATATTCTTAAAATAAGATAAAAACTATCTGCCAAAAGGGTAAAGAAAATAAGCTTAGAGATAGAGATAGTTTACCCAAAAATGAAAAAAAAAAAAAAAAGAGTTGACCATTGACTTTCATAGTATGGAAAAAATTAGTGCTGTCAAATGATTAATCGCGATTAATTGCATCCAAAATGAAAGTTTTTATTTACATAATATATGTGTGTGTACTGTGTATATTTATTATGTATATATAAATACACACACATACAGTATATATTTTGAAAATATTTACATGTATATATCCATATCCATATAATTTATATTATATATAAATATATTTAATATATAAACGTAACATTTTTCTTAAATATGTACATATATGGGTGTATATTTATATATACATAAATGTACACAGTACACACATACATACTATGTAAACAAAAACTTTTATTTTGGATACGATTAATCGTTTGACAGCACAAGTAAAAAAATACTATGGAAGTCAAGACCAAGACCAAGTCAATACCAACACGTTCGGTTACCAACATTCTGCAAAAATACCTTGTTTTATGTTCAGCAGAAGAAAAAAAGTCATACAGCTTCGGAACAACTGGAGTAAAAGATGACAGAATTTTGCAGTTTTGGGTGAACTGTCTCTTTAATTTAACACATCCTCAGATAACAAGTTTTATCTTGTGAAATTTTTGTAAATGTTTTAAGAATTAAGGAACGAGTAAAGTTGTTTTTTTTAATAGGATAAGATATTTAGGCAGTGGAAAACGAGACAAAATTCTGATACTATTTTTGTACTATGTATTTATCATGTATTACTTATAACAAAATTTCCATAAGTCATCTTTTAAGTACCTCAAGCTGCAAGTAATATTTTGCCTTCATTTCAAAGTAGGGCCTGAAAAGGAGAGAGGGAGAAAAGTGATTAGAGCTACTGTAAAGACCTATAAATAGCATCTTACATATCACCATGGCAACTGTT